ACCATTAACTGATGACGTAAGAGCCAGGACAATGCCAAATGTTTTACCTACACCTTCTCTAACCTCCAAAACCACCATGTGATTAATGTTATCCATTTCTAAAACCTCTATGGCACTCAACTTAGAAAGCAACAAACCAACACAACTTATTTAACCCTTTACACAACTAGGTCTCCTACACTTTCCATCCACTCACTGAGCAAGGGAGAATGGAAAAACGTCAGGATCGAACACGCCCAAACTACAATTTCAGGGGAATCCCAGCCTGGCCCCAAGTCCTGCTCGGTATGCTGGGATAGCGATCTAAGCGTCCTCCAGAGCAATAAGAGCAGGGAAGGGAGACAGCGGGGGCCACCGTGCGGAAAGAGGAGTGTTCGTGATTTTCACTAATGAGGTTAGAGAGGTCTGAGGTTCAACTAGAGGAGAAAGGAGCTCCGGTCTCGGGGAAGAGACCTAGACTGGGAATCGGGACGCCTGGGTTCGCCCCGCAGGTCGACTCCTAGGCAGGTCGCTCCCCCTCTGCCAGTCTCTTTCCCTATATCCCTCAAGAGCTTTATATGAAGGCGGACAAGGAATGTCCAAGACTCCATGGCCCTCAAGACTTCGCCCTGAGAAGCTGTCGGAGTTCGCCTCTGGGAAAGCAGGTGCCAAAGGCCAAACCTCTCACCCCGACCGTCACGGTGCCTGGAGGCCGTCCCTTCACCAGGAGAGGCACTTACAGCCCGGAGGGATGCCAAGCCCAGCAGTGGCAGCGGCATCGCCTTCTTCACTGTCGCCATTTTGGCCCTGCTTCCCCCACCGCCGCCCAGCTGAGTCCCTCGCTACTGCCGGCGGTGGCGAGCGCTCCGAACGAGCGTAGCCGCGTCCTCGGGGGCGGGGCCTCCGAAACGAAGGCAATGACGCACTACGCTGGCACCGCCTCTAGGCTCTTCCTATTTATTCCTGGACGGGTCTGCCCTAGTCATTATTTACTGAATGTTTACTGTTGTTGTGAGATATAAAGATGAGAAAGTATTAACCAAAGTCTCTGGCTTTATGAGTTTATGAGCTGAGAGGACAGACATTAATAATCACACGAATAGATAATTACTACTTTGACAATAATACTGTAATAAGAAGGAACACTCAGTATTTGCTACCCACTCTTCTGAGTTCTCTGCATGTTTTAACTCAAATTCATCAGGATCTTCAGAATTCAAATTCAGGCAGTTGGTGCCAAAGAAGGGAACATCCTTTGATTTCATGTCTTGAAGGCTGAGTAAGGTTTATCCAGGTGAGCCCAGGGAGTAGATGTGTGAATACCCTGAGACAAAGAAATTAAATGCTTAGAGCAGAATTTTTCAAAACGCGTGTTGAGACCCTTTAACTGGTCATAAATTCAATGAAGTGAATACCAACTGTCTTTAAAAAAAAAAAAAAGAAAGAAAGAAATATAATAGAAAATACCAGAGTTCATTGATGAGTAGTAAAGCTAAGGACTGTTTCACGTGTCAACCAGATTGCAATGTAAAATAAATTTCTTATTGTGGGTTGCAATCAGAAGTGTCTGAACAACTTTGTTTTAGAAAGATGGAAAGAAGGTCGGAAAGACTAGGGAGAGGGGAGGGAGGGAGTCGGGAGGAGACATAAGACTGGGAAGAGGTCAAGGGTGGCAGGGTCCATTCCACAGGGCTTTGGAGAACACATTAATAACAATTCTAAGAGTACTCGACAGCACATAACAACAACAACAACAAAAGAGTAATGTTTTTGAAGGGTTTTAAGCAGAGGAGAGTGTCAATTCCTTGTGCATGGGGTCTCCTTGAGTCCACCGTTGACTCAGTTGTTGTTGTTGTTATGTGCCATCGAGTCAAACCCGACTCATAGCGACTCCTCCTTGGGTTTCCAAGGGGGTATCACTACGGAAGCAGATTGCCCAACCTTCCTTCTGAGGAGTGGTTGGTGGGTGGCAGCCAACAAAGAGCAGATTGGGAGACCTGATCAAATTTGCATTTTACATTGTGGCTGCCATATGGATAGGCAACTGGTAAGTGCACTCACTGGCTTTGGTATTCCCAGGGAGAGATAGAGAAGGCAATGCCCCTGCCTTCAAGGAGCTCAGGTTTTAGCTAGGGAGAGAATGAGGCATAATAAGTGTTCTACTAGGCTTCCATGGCACCAGAAATTTTCTTTTGTCATAGCGCCCAGAAAACTACTCACAGAATTCTAAATCTGCAGCCAGAAGGCTGAACTTGGTCCAAAGATGCTAGCAGAGTGTGTTGGTTTTTTTTAACGTGACTATCTTTAGGCAAGCCCAGTTCTTTCCAGTTCCAGAGTTGCTGGCACTCCCACATAGTTGTGTCCTTCCTTGTTCCCTGTCTGCCCCTTGGCAAACTGCAAATGTAAATTATTTACAAGCCCAGTTCAGAGGTGAGTGCTTACAGGACAGAGATTTTAACTGGTTGGTCACTGTGGTGTTTCTAATACCAAGTGTAGCAGACTCTGCTCAGGGTCCCCCTCAGCTGAGATCTTATTTTAACCAAGGTGCTGTCTTTGTTTGCATGGTTTGCACTGTAACCTGGCCTCACTGAGCTTATAAGAATATTACAATAGCAGCTACCGTTTATTAAAGATTTTTTATATATCAGTTATGATATATAGGAGCTTTAGATAAGTTAGTTATTACAAACTCTATAAGATAGATATACTACTCTTCCCACTTTAGAAATGAGGAAGCCATCTAATAAGGAAACCAAACCAAACCAAACTTGCTGCTGTTGGATCCAACTCACAGCGACCCCTCCTTGGGTTTCTGAGGCAGTATCACTACGGAAGTAGATCGCCCAGTCTTCCTTCCCAGGAGTGGCTGATGGGTTTGAACAGCTGGCCTTCTGGTTAGCAGTCAAATGCCTTAGGCACTACTTCCAATAAGGAAGGTCAGCAAAAAATGATCAGGGCAAAGGAAGATCCTGGGAGTGTTATAGGCCCCAGAGAGTAAAACAGCCTAAGAGAACAGCCACCTTAACCAACCTTTAACATTGTTTTTCTCTCCCTCCTTACAGGCCTTCTGGCCTCCTCACCCCAGTGCACAAACCCCCACATTCCTCCTTATCTTTCCTTGGAGGCCTGAGTGTATACACTCCCACATTCTCCTTGTAAAGTTAATCTTCCTGGACAGGAAGGAGGGAATCATAAAACTATTTCTCCTGATTAAGGCTCGTTGTATATCACTGACCAGAGGAATGACAGAAAAATGGCAAAGCAAAGTCAACTCCTCCTGATAACCAAAAGAAGGCCTTATCAGCATCCCTCAAACCCTCTACCCCTTAGCCCAAATCCCTTTAAAAATTCTTTTTCTCAGCTCGGGGAGACAGTCTTTGGTGAGCACAGTTCTTCTGTCTCCTTGGGTATCAATACTCAGTGAACCCTCTTGCTTTTCACCTCCTCCTGTTGTCCAGTGGAAGCTCTGCTGGCATAGTGCCTAAGGCATTTCACTGCTAACCAGAAGGCTAGTGGTTCAAACTCACCAGCCACTCCTTGGAAGGAAGGTTGGACAATCTACTTCCATAGTGATACCACCTCGGAAACCCACGGAGGGGTCCTATGAACTGGATCTCACTCGTTGGCAGTGAGTTTGGTTTGGTTTTGTTGTACAGTAATTAGCTCTCCTCATGGCAGGTGACTAAGAGCTGCATTTGTCCGCTATCAGAAGGAGCATAAGAGTTAAAGGCAACAGAGATAAATACTATTACCTACATAATCCTGCAATAACAGAAATGACAATAATCTACAGGTGGAAACATAGACAAGCAAGCTGAACAAGTGGGAAGGTGAGTGGTACTACACCAATAAAAATATATATGCTTTGATTGAGGATATTTCTCCATATGTATTTACATATGCTACAAATATATCCATGGATATACTAGAGCATATAAGGGGCAAAGTTATGAAAGCTTCTTAGCTATAACCGAACACCATGAGGGAATGAGTCACTGGGCCTGGGGCTTAGAACCATAGTCTTAAGGGACATCAAGGTCAACTGCACAAAATAATCCACAAAGAAAATGTACACCCTACCTTGGTGAGTAGCAACTGGGGTCTTAAAAGTTTGTGGGTGGCCATCTAAGGTGCAAATATTGGTCTCTCCTCAACCAGAGCAAAGGAGAGTGAAGAAAATCAAAGACACAGGAAACAATTAGTCCCAAAGATTAGTGGACCATCTGAACCTCAGACTCCATGACCCTGAAACCAGAAGAACTCCATGGTGCCTGGCTACCACTATCTACCACTCTGAAAGGGATCCTATTAGAAGGTACTGATAGAGTGGGAGAAAAATGTGGAACAAAACTCAAAAAAGACAAGTCTCACTGGTTGGATAGGAACTGATAGAACCTCTGAAACTATGGCCCTTAGTCACTGTTCAAGTTTGGAACTGGACTCAGTCCTGTGGCTCAATTTCAGCCAAACAACAGACAGGCCTAAAAGGTGAACACTAGGGAGGGAAAACAATAAACTGAGATCAAAAGGGCAGCATTTGCTAAAGGACAAAGTTCAGAAGGCAGGAAGGGATAGGAAAAAGGACGAATGGAACTGGGAAACACAAAGATAAAGTGGGTTGTTGCATTGTGGGAATTGCAATCAGTGGCGTGAAACAAAATGTATATGAATTGTTAAATGGAAAACTGATTTGCTCTGTAAACCTTCACCCAGCTCCCAATAAAAATTTAAAAGAACAAAACAAAAAAGAAATGAGGAAGTCGAAGCTCAAGAGAAGTTAAACAATGTTCCTAAAATCATATATGCTAGGTAACTTAAGGGAGTTCTGGTAGCGTAGTACCTAAGGCACTTGACTGCTAACCAGAAGGTTGGCAGTTCAAACCCACCAGCCACTCCTCGGAAGGAAGGTTGGACAATCTAGTTCCGTAGGGTTGGTCAATCTACTTCCATAGTGATACCACCTTGGAAACCCAAGGAGGGGTCGCTATGAGTTGGGTAGGACTCGATGGCACATAACAACAAAACAACAACAGGTAATTCAAGACCCAGGTCAGACTCCAGTGCATGTCTCTTTTTTACTGCATGCTACCACTATTTCTCTCTTTCTTCTTCCTTCTTCTTCAAACTCTACAAAGAATATGAAATAATTTCTGAAAGAGATATGTTGCTATTATTAAGGCACAAGCCTGTGCTGGCTTCTGGGAATACAGGAGAAGCCAGATGCAAGGCAATTCCAGGGCAATTTCAGGCCTTCTGGTTTTATGGTATAAGGCTTTCTCATTGTTTTTTTTTGTTTGTTTGTTTGTTTGTTTTGTTTTGTTTTGAAATTGCTTTGGTTTGTGAAGCAGGTTGGGCAAGCTAAGAGATTATTTCCTTGCTCTAGGTTCAAACCCACCAGCCGCTTCTCTGAAGGAAGGTTGGGCAATCTACTTCCATAGTGATACTGCCTCGGAAACCCGAAGAGGGGTCGCTGTGAGTCAGGTCTGACTAGATTGCAGTGAGTTTGGTTTGTTTGTTTGTTTGTTTCTTGGCAATGCAAGGGAGCTCCGGTGGTGCAGTGCGAATCTACAATAACCATAATCAAAACCAAACCAAACCAAATTCACTGCCTTCAGTTGATTCTGACTTATGGAGACCCCATTCAGTTTATGAGGTGGTAAATCATTATGGAAGTAGATTGCCCCATCTTCCTTCCACAGAGCAGCTAGTGGGTTTGAACGGTCAGCCTTCTGGTTAGCAGTCAGATACCCTAGGCACTATGCCACCAGTGCTAGGTGCACCTAAATGCCATCAACTGTAT